TTTTATTATTACTTTTTTTTTTTTTTTTTAAAAAACTTACAATATTTGCATAATGAATTCCATGCCATAATAAAACAAAACCATATGATAGAATGACACCAAAAATTTTTCGTTTTAATGAAAATGTTGGAGCACAAATTGGAATGAAAATATAAGTTTTAAAAAAGCTATAAAGGCCAGGATCAAAATAGCGCCATGCTTTTGAATAAAGTGTTAAACGATTTATGCAAATTGGTCCATCTGCTGGTTCCATATTATCAGCTAAGGCAAAAATTCGTGGTAAACCAAATATTACAACATAACGAAGATGAAAAAATATTCCTGAAATTATTTCAAAAAATTTCTCAACAAATTGAAATGAATAAATTTTGGCTTTAATTTTTATGTATGTATCAAATTCGAAATAAATTGAAATTCAATTTTTCAATTCCTTTTTTCTTTCCATTCGTTAAATTGAAATGAACTAAAATGATTTTTAACATAATTAAATTAAAATGAAATGAGCCTTTTTGTCCTCGTTTTCTAAATTTCTTCCTTCATTTAAATTTAAGTTATTTGTAGTAAATTGTAATTGAAATGAATTGAATATTTTATTAAACTTAAATGCAATAAACAGATGAATTAGGTAGTAATAAATGATAGCGTAAAGTTTTATTTAAATGTTCAATATTTTTAATTTGATATTTAAATGTTCGTTTGTTTAATAATTTAATACTTGATATTTTAAATAATCCAACTTAAATTATCGAATTTAAATTGCGATAAAATTATGTTTAGTCTTCAGTCGCGTTTTGATGATATATTTTCATTGAAACGCATTAGTGAATCAAATAGCTTACGTATGAAATCTATCACTTTTCCTATAACTATATCCATTTTATCAATAATAATTAAGTTTAAATAATTCGTCATCATTATCATCATCATCATTATTATTATCATCATCATCATCATTATTATCATCATTATTATTATTATTATCATCATCATCATTGTCACAAACACCATCATCAGCAAATATCATGACAGGAATAATTATGCCTATTTTATTAATAACAATTAAATCTAAATAAATTTTCCGCTAAAAATATACTAATTTACATCTTTCTTGCTTTTCTTTCAAAAAAAAAAAGATTGAGAAGTATTGCTTGAAATGAAAATATTTTGATGAATGAATTTTAAAAATACAAAAATTAGTTTTCAAATATTTCCTTTAGATTTTATAAAATATATATGTAAATGGATTGTATGAATATCAGCTGCATATTACATATGCTAATTAAGAATTAATATGTCATTATCATCATAGCTCAGCTTCACTAAGGAAGATTTGCGATGGACTCTATCCATACTTGCTACAAACTCTTCAAGTGTGTGCTTATCTTTCCGCCTTGCGGAAAGTATAGAATGTCCGGAACTGCCCTCACTCATTAAGTATTGAGTGGACGGAACTGCCCTCACTCATTAAGTATAGAGTGTCCGGAACTGCCCTCAATCATTAAGTA